CCTCTGCCTCCCAAGTGCTGGGATTAAAGGCGTGGGCCACCAATACCCGTCGAACAGTCCATATTTTTTTTTGAGAACAGTCCACATCTTAACTGCCTCTCTTTCCTTCCTTCCATCCTTTCTTCCTTCCTTCCTTCCTTCCTTCTTTCTTTCTTCAAGACAGAGTTTCTTTGTAGCTTTGGAACCTGTCCTGGAGCTACTTCCTTCCTTCCTTCCTTCCTTCCTTCCTTCCTTCCTTCAAGACAGAGTTTCTCTGTAGCTTTGGAACCATGTACTAGCTATACAACTAATAATGACCTTGAACTTTCTAATCCCCCTGCCTCCAAATGTTGGGGATCTAACTCAGGACTTGGAACACGCTAGGCAACAACTCTACTAACTGAGCTACATTCTCAGCTCCTGAAGAGTGGAGTTTAGATGTGTATTCCAGGCTGGCCTTGAACTCAGTAAGTACCAAAGGTTGGCCTCAAACTCACAGAAATCTTATCTCAGTCTCCCAAGTGCTGAGGTTACAGGCGTGTGCCACCATGTCCTGTTTGAAGAGTGCTTTGCTTTCGCCCCCTTCCTGTCTGTCTCTGTTTTCTTTTATAATGATGGGTGTTGCTTTCTTCTACCATTTTCTTGCTCTCATGATATTGGGTGTTACCCAGGGCAAAAGAAAAGGAGCCAGAAGCCATAGGCTGAACTCTCTGAAGCTGGGAAGCTAAAACAAATGCTCTCACCCTAAGTTACTTATGTCAGGTATCTTGTTACAGGGATGGAAAGTCTGGCTACCATAGACCCTATAGGTCTTAATCAACTCTCCATCCTGTCACTCTGGAGACACGGACTCTTGGGCACAAACCAAACCACAACAGCGTCTTCAACATTTATCTCTCAGCTCTGGGAAGGCTAAGGGCAAGATGCTGGCCAATACAGTGTCCTGTGAGGCTCTGCTTCCTGGCTCATGAGTGATAGTTTTCTATACGTGTCCAGGCTTTCTAGAAATTGTTAACTCCATTCGTGAAGGCTTGACCCTCATGTCTATTTAATCCCAGTTTCCTCCCAAAGATGGTTCCATTAGGAGAAAGGGTTCTGGTATAAGAGTTTTGAATTACACAGTTATTCAATCCAAATCAAAGACCAAATTGAACCCTCACCACCTCCATTCAACCACTCCTGGCAAAATGGTTGTTCTTCTCTTGGGCTCCCTTATGCTTCTCATGGCACACTTTCCTTAACTGTAGCGGATGTCATACCTGCCTTGTTACATTCTGTCCTCGTCTCATGGGTCAGGATTATGTTTTCCTTGTTGTTGAACCCCCCTTCTGATACTTCCAAATCTCCTGGTTCACAACAGAGAAGGCAACGTTGTGGTGATCAGGTCCAGCAGTTTGTGGTTTAACTAATCCTGGCTTCCAGTCTTGGCTCTGCCACTACTAGCTATGGAAGCTAATCACTTTATTCTTCAGAATCCCAGTTTTATAGAGAATGGGAATACCACTCAAGGAGAAAATATATAAAGTGCTTGTTTCAGTATCTGACACATGATTGAACATCAATAGGTGGTGTTTCTGTCATTGTTATTAATATGAATATAATGCTCAGAATTATGACAGATGTGTACTAGTCATCAGTGAATGATAGCTATGGTGCTGTTGTCTCCCTTGGTTATTAAAAAATGCTTTTAAACAGAGCAGTTGGAACTTAACCAGCAAAGGCTATCATCAAAAAAGCATAGGTATAGGAGTAGCCACCAGCCATCAAGGGAAAACAGGGCTAATGAGCACAGCAAAGCTAACAAGATTCAGGTCAGGGCCCCTAGTGAACCTGAGTCTACTTGCAGAGAAGATAAGAGCCTGTGGGTGTTGGGGAGATGGAGTTCATCAGGCTCCACCCCTCCCTGGGTAGCAACAGGCAGTTAAAAGTTGCTGCTAAGCAGTGAAGCCAAATTATTGTTGCTTATGTAAAGAACCTCCAACTGGTGTCTATCTGTCTACTACCCTCACCTTCCCCATGTTTCCTGGAGTTGTCTTTTCATTGTGTGGAAGTCATACCAGAGCAGACTATTTGCTCATTCATTCATTCATTCATTCATTCATTCATTCAGCCAGCACTCCTTGAACATTATGCTGTCACCCAGTCATGGTAGAGCTACTTGCAGAGAAGATAAGAGCCTGTGGGTGTTGGGGAGATGGAGTTCATAAGGCTCCACCCCTCCCTAGGTAGCAACAGGCAGTTAAAAGTTGCTGCTAAGCAGTGAAGCCAAATTGTTGTTGCTTATGTAAAGAACCTCCAACTGGTGTTCATGTTGACAATTCTGAATAAATGCAGAGGAACACACACAAACACACTCTCATACACACACAAACACACAAAAGTATGTTGGGAGGATGAATTTGATAGGAAGGAAAAGGGACTAAGAGAAGATAAATGGGGGAATATGATTAGGGTACATTATATATGAATGAAGTTGTGAAAGAATAAGAATAATTTCAAAACAAAGAAAGAAAGGAAGGAAGAAAAAAAGAAAGGGACATAAGAGTCTCTCATTTGCTAGAGCTCAGGAGAAGGGAGGTAAAGCCTGGGTCTTTAGTCTGCCCTATGACTGACTACTGGTGTAAGATCTGGAAGACAGTAGAGCCAACGCCTAGCTCTGGGTGTAGGACGAAAAAAGGTGTGCTCCCCCAGAGTTCTGGCCTGAACTCTGAGCACATCCTCCTTCCAGTCTTCTCCCAGCCCAGCCTGGCACTCTTCTGGCCCCATGGCTTTCCATTTTGCTGCCACCCCTAGGGAACTTCCAGAATCCAGAGCAGGTGTGATTTGTGATTACATTCTCCCTGTACCAACCGCCATCCTTGGAGAAAGGTGTGTGCAGGAGTACAGATGGGCGTGAGGTTGGCAAGAGTCTGATGCCTCTTGGTGTAGCTCCCACTGGTGTGGAGAGGGGCCAACTGTGCTGCCTAGTCCCAGCCTCCCTAGACTTCTCTGGTCTCCACTCTGGCCTTAGTCCTAGGCCCTTGACAAAAAAAAAAAAAGACAAAGCAGGTAACGTAGAGGGTTGGGTCCAGCAGGACTTTGCCAACCTCACAGCTTCACCAGGACTCAGCGATAGTTCTCTGGTTTTGGAAATGCTTTCAGCTATACAAACCCATGTTTCCAACCTCTGACTTTGTTCCCTGCCCACACCTTGAGGCAGGATTTAGGAGTCCATCCTGACCTAAGGGGCTCATAGGTAATGCCTGACCTATCCCCCCCAGAAGCTCACATCCTTCCTTCCCTGCCAGCATTATTGCCAAAGGCAATAATGGCTGCCATGGACTCTGGCCTATGCTGCTCACCTGACTTCTATCTGTCTACTACCCTCACCTTCCCCATGTTTCCTGGAGTTGTCTTTTCATTGTGTGGAAGTCATACCAGAGCAGACTATTTGCTCATTCATTCATTCATTCATTCATTCATTCATTCATTCATTCAGCCAGCACTCCCTGAACATTATGCTGTCACCCAGTCATGGTAGAGTGTGGCTTGGGATCCAACACTCATTTGGTCAGTGGTCAAACATGCCCCCGAGTCTGCTATTCGTGGAAGGTGACAGAGAGAGCAATGAACCAAACGGTAGCCAGCCTCTGTGAGTCTCCGTCTCATGGAGAAGCCAGTAGAGAATTCAAGCGAGTGCTGTGAAGAAGGGTTCAGATGGGAGAAAAGCCGTCCATTGCAAGCCTCCGCTATGCTTGCAGACAAAAACTCTTCCTGGTCCAAAAGAATTTGTTGCCTCCATTCTTGCTTTCAGGTTTTTATTTTTACGAAAGGCTTTATGTAAGCCAGGCGTTAGTGGCGCACACCTTTAATCCCAGCACTGAGGGTGGGGGGTGCACAGAGGCATGAGATCTCTGAGTTCGAGGCCAGCCTGGTTTATAGAGTGAGTTCCAGGATAGTCAGGGCTACACAGAGAAATCCTGTCTCGAAAAGACCACACACACACACACACCAAAAGGCTTTATGAAAAAGCAAAGTAAAGCAGAAAGGGACTGTAGGCAGGTCTGGAAAGTAAGGGTAGGCAGGTGAGGAGGGGAGACAGGCTAGAGCCAGCCTGGGTCCGGCCTCCTCCCAGTGCCCCAGAAAGATAGCGCCCGCTGGAGGCGCTTCTTGGTGAAAGCTTACACGATCAAGCAGATTGCTCTTGGCTGTGGACTTGCAGGAGGGTGGGTTGGGTCTGGTCAGCCCAAGAGAACAGCCAACTGGTGCCACTCCCTTTCCTCCCCAGGGTGAGGATAGAGCAGCTCCGCCCACATCGGAGGCGTGATGGGAGATATTTAGAAGATAAACGCCTAGGCCTTGGGGACTAGGAGGAGTAGGAGGGCCTGGCCTGGACCATACACCTTGAGCTTGGGGACAGGGGTAGAAGGGATCTAGGTCTTGTGAGTAGCTTGGACTTAGAAAGAGATAACAGATCTTGGGATTCAGGTCCAGGAAGCGGGCGGGGACTGTAGTAAAAGGGTCAGAGGTGGCGGAGCCAAAGAGGACAGAACTGAAGCTCCAATGGAGAAGGGGGCGGGGTCCCGGCTGGAGGTGCTGCGTCCTGGGCCGGCCTCTTTGGGATCTGCGCCGCCTGCCTGAGGTCTCGTGATGTTGGTCATAAGGTCTCGAGTACCCGTTGAGCCAGCAGCTGCGTTTGCAGCATGGCCTCGGAGCAGGATGTTCGGGCACAGCTGCAGCGCGCGGGCCAGGAGCATCTCCTTCGCTTCTGGGCCGATTTGGCCCCGGAGCCTCTAGCTGCGCTGCTAGCGGAGCTCGCCACTCTGGAGCCTGACGCTCTGCGAGAGCACTGCCAGCGCGCCGCGGCCGCCTGCGCGCTTACACCGGGTCCTCTGGCGGACTTGGCGGCGCGCCTGCAGCCTCTGCCCCCAGAATGCGTGGGCAGCGCGATCCGCTGCGACCAAGAGACACGCCTGCGGTGGGAAGAGGAAGGTAAGCAATACGGTGCCGGGTGGGGGTTGGGCAGGCGCCGCCCATTGCGCCCGGAAGAGTTGGTGCCTACCGGGCGGAGGCCCTGAGGGGCTCGGGAAGTGTTGCATAGAGTTATTTGCTTTGCAGCTCCTTCCTCCTGTGCTTAGTAGACCCTGAAGTCGTGCAGTAGCAAGTCACGCGTGGCTCTCTCTAAAGAGAAAGGCCTTTCCTCACAACGCGCCTCCCCTCCAGGTTTCCGACAGATTGCTCTGAACAAAGTGGCTGTCCTGCTGCTGGCCGGTGGGCAGGGCACTCGCCTGGGCGTCACCTACCCCAAGGGCATGTATCAAGTAGGGCTGCCCAGCCAAAAGACCCTGTACCAACTGCAGGCAGAGCGGATCCGGCGTGTTCAACAGTTGGCTGGCCAGCGACTGGGGACCCATTGCACCGTGCCCTGGTGTGTCTTCCCTGCCAACCTCCCAGAAAGACCACCCTTAAGTGACCCAGACCTGCCCCACACCAAGACCTGAGACCCAGTCCTAGCACAGCCCTAGAGAGAGCCCAGTGTCTGCCCTGACTGAGCCCCATGCAGGCTTGTTCCTGCTGCATCTGTCAGGGTGAGCCCGATTCCTCTGGAAGCAGCTCACTGCTAGGACATTTACAGGTACATCATGACCAGTGAGTTTACACTGGGACCGACCATCAAGTTCTTCAAGGAGCATGACTTCTTCCACCTAGACCCTGCTAACGTGGTCCTGTTCGAGCAGCGCATGCTACCTGCTGTGACTTTTGAGGGCAAGGCCATACTGGAACGGAAAGACAAAGTTGCCATGGCCCCAGGTATGGCCCACACCTTGGACAGGGAAGGGCTGGTCTCCCTGGAGGATCCACAGAATGCAGCTGTGGATCAGGAGGCCTGACTCCCAGGTAAGATGTGGTCAGGCAGGCTGTGTGGCCCTGGCTCAGTCAGGAGTCTCATCTGTCACATGATACAGTCACAAGGCTCTTGGTGGCTTCTGCTCCTGCTGCATTTACTAGACTGAGCAGGAGATCAAGCCAGAGTCCATAGGAAGACCCATTACTTTCTCTTTTGCAGATGGCAACGGGGGCTTATACTGTGCCCTGGCTGACCACCAGATCCTGGAGGACATGAAACGTCGGGGTGTGGAGTTTGTGCATGTGTACTGTGTGGACAACATCCTGGTGCGGCTGGCTGACCCAGTCTTCATAGGCTTCTGTGTGCTTCGGGGTGCAGACTGCGGTGCCAAGGTGAGCACCAGACTTTCATTTTCCTTGGCACTTGGCTCTGCCTCTTGCCAAACCTTGTCCCTCTTCTCATCTCCGTCACTCCCGCACTCTGTCTGTACCCGGTGGTTGCAGGTGGTGGAGAAAGCATACCCTGAGGAGCCAGTTGGTGTGGTGTGCCAGGTGGATGGTGTCCCCCAGGTGGTGGAATACAGCGAGATTAGCCCTGAGACCGCTGGGCTCCGAGGGCCTGATGGGGGCTTGCTCTACAACACGGGCAATATCTGCAACCATTTCTTCACCCGAGACTTCCTGGATAAGGTCACCAGGTGTGTGGCAGCAGGTGGCTGTGGCATCCCAGACTGGGCTGAATCTAAGAATGCCACAGCAGCTAGAGCTGACCTAGCCTGAGCTGGGCCACTGTTGGGAGTGCAAGGAGTTGGGTAAAGAGACTTCCTGTCACTATATAAACAAGCCAGAACCCACCACCTAGCCTGAGCTGGGCCACTGTTGGGAGTGCAAGGAGTTGGGTAAAGACATGTGTCATGCTCTGGGCATCCTGGATGAGGCCCTGGTCATGGCTATCTTGACCCCACTGTTCATGGATGCCACTGCTGCCTTGTCATTAGCTTGGGCAGCATTGTGGCGGTGGTTCCTGGCTTTTGGCCCTGGGAATGCTGGGAGAAAACCTGTGCCTTCCCAGAGATGTAGCTAGGTCCTAGTGCCACCTCAGCTGGCTGAAGGTACACAGAAATGAAGACTGGTATTCCTGGGGTGCCCTGTCTGAACCACACCCCTTTTGCCCTCTTGCTTCCAGGGAGTTTGAGCCCTTGCTGAAGCTGCATGTGGCCGTGAAGAAGGTCCCATATGTGGACGAGGAGGGAAATCTGGTAAAGCCGCTAAAACCGAATGGGATAAAGATGGAGAAGTTTGTGTTTGATGTGTTCCAGTTTGCTAAGTTAGTGGCAGAAGTCACTTATTTTTCTCTTCTTCCCTCTCTTTGTTCTGGTATTGGGTTCAGAGTTTCCCTAGGACAGGAAAGTGGGAGCTTGGTGAGGGGCAGGGGTGGGGGAAGGTAAGGGACTATAGGCCGGTTTGCATCAGGGAAGTCCAGAGGGTGTTCTTGCACCTAAGAACAAGAACAGAGGTTCTGAGAGGACACGGAACAACCCCCGGAGTCCCCACAATCCTGACCCAAGGTTGGGTTGGAGTTGCTGGGTGGGTCCCAGTGCCCTCTACCTCTGAACATGTGGCAAGTGAGAATTGGAGAGCTTGAGAATTCTTAGCATCTCGGGAAAGCACAGGTGCTTTCCGTGCCTGTGGGGACCCCCCAGGCCACCGTACTCATGGAACAGACTCCCATTTAGGGAGCTCTGGCCTACCCTTGCCTGTCCAGAGTGGAGCAGCTGGCTGGGATGCAGGGTGATGAACTCCTCTCCACCAGGAACTTCGTTGCCTTTGAAGTATCTCGGGAGGAGGAATTCTCCCCATTGAAGAATGCTGACACAGCCAGCAGGGACAACCCTTCCACCTCCAGGAGAGCCTTGTTGGCTCAGCACTACCGCTGGGCTCTGCAGGCCGGAGCCCACTTCCTGGATGTACATGGGGTCCAGCTTCCTCAGCAGTCTGGGTAAGAGGCTCTGAGATTAGCCTGGGGAGCAGTATTCTTGTCCTAGAGGCCTGTTGATGCTACCACTGTCCCAGGTGGCTTCTAACCCAGCATCACACCAAATGTAGGCTTTGTGTTCCCAGCCTGTGACTGTCTGCTTGGTGACTATCAGCTCAGCCTCTTAGTCGCAGGTTATGTTCAGGGAGGCAAGGTCTCAGATACCCTCAAATGTACTCTCATTAGGTCCGAAGATGAGACCTAAGCCTAATCCTGAAGAGACTCAGGAAGGCTTGACCTTTGGGACAGGAGAGGAAAAGGACCTTTGGTGTCTTGTCACCCCTATTGCTGTGCTGGAGGTGCAGTTGGGCCTGGCTGCCTGAGCTCTGTACAGGGGCCCTGAATAGTGATTTATGTAGCTAGACCAGAACCTGTCACTTGGAAGATGGCATTCATGGGTTTGGGCTGTGCAGAGGGAGGAATTTGCTGTGTAAGTACGACTGGTGTGTGGCATTGATGGTGGATAGGCACTTGCCTCTTCATGTCCGGAGGGTTCTGGGAGAGTCCCTGGCATTCACTTGTGAGGCTGACCATTGCTCTCCCCCAGCTTGCTCCCAAATGGAGACCCTCCAGCCATCTGTGAGATATCGCCCTTGGTGTCTTACTCTGGAGAGGTGAGTGTGCAGGCCCTGTCCAGTGTTTTGTGAAGTCTGGTTTGTGTGAACCAGAAGAAGAAAACAGGAGAAGCCGGGCGTTGGTGGCGCATGCCTTTAATCCCAGCACTTGGGAGGCAGAGGCAGGCCGATCTCTGTGAGTTTGAGGCCAGCCTGGTCTCCAGAGCGAGTGCCAGGATAGTCTCCAAAGCTACACAGAGAAACCCTGTCTCGAAAAACCAAATAAAAAACAACAACAACAACAAACAAACAAACAAACAAAAAACAGGAGAACCAGACATTGGGTGGATGGGTCACAGCCCTGATTCTGTTGGCCAGTAAATGCAGTGGACTGAGGGATCTGGAAGCCTTTGTGAGGCTTGGGAGGGGTTAGGGTACAAGAAAGGATCAAGGCTGAGACCAAGACTTTGGGGAGTCTTCCTGAGGGGAAGACAGCAGTCTTCTTCTGACTCTGCCTGATGGTGTAGCACTGGAGGGCTGTTTTGGGGTAGCTGGAGGGACTATGGGCAGACAATGTGGACACTTAGCTGCTGTAACCCTTTGTTTCCAGGGGTTGGAGATGTACCTACAAGGCCGAAAACTCCAGTCTCCATTCATTCTGGATGAGGACCAAGCCAGGCTGCTGCAGCCACAGGAGTGCTAACCCGCTGGCTCCCAGCCTCTCCAGCCCTGGGGCTCTATCGGGTGCTGATATAGCTCTGGCCCAGGCTCTGGGTGGAAATGCTGGCCTGCAGGACACAGAAGGGAGTGTGCTAGTTTACTTTACAAGGTTGGGACCTCTTTGGGTCCCCCATGGACTGTAGTTGTCTGTCTGTGTAGTTTTTACTTGTTTTGGTTTTGCCGCATTGCTGGCTCTGGGGCTCAACTGAGAGGCAGAGGGTTGGGGACCTTGGAAAATAGGGCTAGAGGAGGTGTTGTCTGAGATCGCAACACAGGGTATGTCCTCTGATATCCTCTAACACAGACCAGCCACGTGCTCAGCAGACAGTGAGATGCCCCATTGGGGTGTAGTTGAAGGACAACCCCACCCCCACCCCCAGCAGCAGAACAGTAGGAAGCTGAGCACATCACCCATGTGCCTAGATGTACCAATAGAAGAGGCTTTGAGGACTCCGATCTGCACACCTGAGATGAAAGCAGTTCTCCTGGCCTTCCATAGCTCTCTCCCACAGTCGAGTCTCCCAGTCAACACCCACAAGTGGGCCTGGCTGCTGTGTTCTTAAGTACCCCCCCCCCAAGAAACAGGCCACACTGTTGCCTTTTAGAATGGCTGCTGATTTTAACCTAGTCAGCACACCTCATCCTGGTTGGTCTTTTCCTGGAGCTTAGAACTTACTTGGAGATGTAGCCTGTGTCTAAGTGGTGCTAGGCTCTGCCACCCAGCCTTGTTCTGTCTCTGACAGCAACTCCATTGACTCACAGCTGGTTTTCCATGCAGGAAAATGGTGACACCCACTCTTCCCCATAATGTAATAGTGGTTAGGAGAGTCAGCCTCGTCCTCAGCCCTGGATGTATGGGCTCCTGCTCATTCCTGTCCACATTCCCAGAGGAGGTTGCTGGGAAGAGTATATTCACCTTGCGGTGCGGAAGCGGTGGGTCTGGACTTGGGAAAGATGGCAGCCATCTTTGGAACTGACAAGTAGAAGACACAAACTGGGCTTTTACTGAGCTCTGTGGTCATCTTGCTGTAGGCCTCAGAAGCAAACAGCATATTTTGGCACCTTTCTGTTACTACTCCATAGGCAAGCTGGGGTCCCTGGAACAGGAGAAGGTCCCTGAGGGAGATCAAAGCCTCAGGTTCTTCCTACATAAACATCAGTTGGGTGAATTCTTGAAAGGAGTTAAAAAAAATTATCTTACATGATTATAAGACAGTATCAAGCTGGGAGGTGGTGGTACACGATTTTAATTCCAGCACTCCCAGGGGCAGGCAGATCTTGGGGAGTTCCAGGCCAGCCTGGTCTGCAGATTGAGGTCCAGGACAAGCTCCCAAAGCTACAGAGAAACACTTTCTTGGAAAAACAAAACAAAAAGTATCAAGTGGGGGTGGTAGGATACATTATTTAGAGTTTTCACAAGGCTATATTAGTGTGCCCCTCAGTCAATCAAGATGAATAATTGTTCCTTCACCATACTCTCCATAGTCATATCCCACCAGTCCTAGTCCCAGATTGCCTTGAAAAGACTACTGACTTCAAAGAGTGGACATTATTTTCAGATAGGACATTTGCAGTAAATCCCAGCTACAGGGGTTGGTTTGTCTTTTTTGGAGGCAGGGTCTCCTGTATCCCAGGATGCCCTTGAATTAGCTCCATAGCCAAGAATGACCTTGGACATCTGAAGCTCCTGACAAGGTGCTTAGTTTATGGGGTGATGGGAATTGAATTCAGGGCTTCATGTGCACAGTAGGCAAGCACTCTACCAACAAATAGCTCCAGCCTCAGGTGCCATTTATTTCATGGCATACAGGCATGAGCACAGGTGTATCCAAGGGACAGAGCTTTGGGAACAGGAGGCTGCCCAAGAAACCCTACATGCTTCTCTCCAGCTCTTCACCAGGGATTTGGAAAAACCAAGACATGGGACGCTCCAGGAAAGACCATTATAGTGGTGCATGTGGTGGCTCCCACATGCACTAACCTTTTTGATAAGCCAGTATTTTTTTCAGTGATTGCAGGAAGCATCACTTGAGTGCATTTGGGACTGCCCACAGGTATGTGTGGGAAGATAACTAGCAGGACACTAAATGTGACCTCAAAAAAAGGGCAGAGGACCTGAGACCAGGAGGGTTTTCAAATTCATAGAAACCAAGGGCCAAGCAGGCTTGTCATATGAGGAGCCCTTCAGGCACCTAGAAGTGCACAGCCAGAATGCACATTGTAAATATGCAGCTGGAACCTGGGTGTGGTGGCACACGCCTTTAGTCCCAGTGCTAGGGAGGCAGAGGCAGGCAGATCTCTTGAGCTCAAGGCCAGCCTGGTCTACATAGTGAGACCCTGTCTCAAAAACAAAAGCTGTGTAGTTGAACCTGGAGCGAACATGAGGCAGGGAGCCCCTTATACCCCATAGATGCTGCTTTGCAGGTTTGAGCATTTACTTGGAACCATGTGTGAAGCAAACCTAAGTACTTTGTCCTACAGCATACCTCCCAAGACCATGGGCTATGTAAAACTTCCCTGTTCTATCCCTTACCCATGGGCCTAGTAGTGTACTTCTGTACACGGGGCTCTGGTCTAGTCATCTTATGAGGAAGTAGGCTGGGCCTGTTCTGGGTTCCCCTGTATAGAAGACAACAGTCTTCATACTGAGACTTATATGGATTCACCCCATTTTATAAAATAGGGGTTTGTTGTATCTCCATCTCTAGTACTCATCAAACTCATCACTTGCCAGGAAGCCAGCCCAGAAAATCATCAAGAGCTAGGAACCTTGCTTCCCCTGGCCTGTTGTGACCTGGTCTCTGTATCTACTTCCTGCTCTTGCTTTCAGTCCTGAATCCTTCTGTCTCTTTAAACTTTCTTAGTGGTTCTATGACCTACATCATTGTATGACACAAAGTATGTGATCTTGCTGGGTGATGGTGGCACATGTCTTAAATTGCAGCGCTGGGGAAGCAGAGGCAGGTGGATCTCTGCGAGTTCAAGTCCAGCCTGGTCTACAGAGTGAGTTCTAGGACAGGCTCTAAAGCTACAGAGAAACCCTGTCTCAAAAAAAAAAAGTATGTGATCTGAGAGTTGCTGCTTTTAACAACTGAGATTGGAGTGGAGTAAAGGAACCCATGTTTGCCAGTGGTCATGATTACCAAGCAAATTCAAGAGTGCCTAGCAAAATATAGCCAGTGAAATCAAGGTAGTTTATGAACTATGGAGAGACAGAACATGCTGGTCTCTGTTACTGGCTTAGTTGTACTTGATCACTGCTGTGATCAGCAGGATTCCATTTATTTGAAATCTAGTAAGCCAGGTCTTTAATCCCCACACTCAAAGGCAGATCTGAGTTTGAGACAATCGTGGTCTACAAAGCAAGTTACAGGACAGGCAGGGAAACACAGGAACCCCGTCTTTGAAGAAGAAAAAAAAAAAAAAAAAAAGGACTCTAGTGAACATGACCCTTCCCCCTCCAAGTAAGTCATTTGGTGGTACAGATAACACAACCCAAGGCTTGTGAACAGACCAAAGCTGCATGTCTAAGTGAGGTCTGCTCAAAGTTGTGTGATACATGGATTCGGGTGACTCCTGATTTTGGTGTGGAAAGGAAGTGTGTGCCTCTGATCTGTGCAGATCAAGAGCCAAAAGCATGAGAATCAGGAAGGTACATAGCATACACAGTGGAAGGTCTCAGCTCGAGGAATTGGTTAATAAAAGAAATACCTAGCAGGACGGTGGTGGCGCATAGCATTAATCCCAGCACTCAGGAGGCAGAGACGGGTAGTCTCTGAGTTCAAGGCCAGCCTGGTCTACATAGCCAGTTCCAGGACAGCCAGGGCTACCCAGGAAAACCCTTTCTTGAAAAAACAACAAACACACACACAACCCAAAGCATGAGAGGAATAAACGTCAGACAACATGTCCATCATTACTCATGTCTTGGGTGGACTACAAAGTTATATACTGTGTTAACAAGTATTTGCATTATTTACTCTGGAGGTATAGGTGGGCAGATCTCTGAGTCTGAGGCCTGCCAAGGAGTGAGACCCTGTCTGAAAAACCAATAAAATAAGCATTCGCCAAACTTAGTGGTATTCCCCTTTAACTCCAGCACCAGGGAGGCAGAATCAGGCAGACTTCTGTGAGTTCAAGGCTAGCCAGAGCTGCACAGTGAGACTCTGTCTAAACAGTTCATCAAATGTGGACCAAGCATGAAAATATATGAACCCATGGGGGACATTGCCTTCAAACAACCATAGGCAGGAAAGCGGTATCATTTGTAAGACTTTACAAGGCAGGGGTGGATAATTAGGAAGGACAGGACTCAATACCACTTACAGATCTTTAGGAGCCACATGATGAGCAGATGTTACATTTATGGCAATAGTGAGAAGTGCAGACAGGCTGGTGGAACTACTACAAACATGACCGTGCAGGCCCTGGCTAAACCTCAGACTGTACATGAACCATAAACAAGTCATAGGACTTCAGAGGAGCTGAATGAGAACAAGGG